TTGCGTCTCCCTGAAACAGCTTTCATTTTCTAGAAATTGGTTGGTGCTGCAGTAAATCATGCAATAGTTACTTAATTTAATCAGATTGGTTCAGGTAACTGGAAGGAAAATATTTGGAGGGGCTAATAAATTTTCGGATTCTAATTAGGTTGTTCCAGTTTGCTGGACGAAATTATTTGCGCTAACTAATTATGTTACCGTGTAAAGGAAATGAACGGTGAGAGGTTTATTAATCGCTGACTCGCCGAACTTTTCTAACATTCCAATTAGAGTTGATTTTCAGTCGGCATAAATTGCTCGGTTCGTTGAACTGATTTTCATGGAAAAATGCTGCCGATTATTAAAGGTTAAACATATAACACTGGAAAATGGTGAACCGATCTTTATAGAGGAACGAATTAGATCGCAATTACGCGAACTGTATGCATACGATTGTAAATGTCAGGCACCGTATGTACATTTAATCGACATTAAAAGATCATCGATGAGTTATCATGCCGATTGTGATCTAAAGGCGTACTGATCGCGAGAGAAACGAACAAGCAATACGTAAGTACTCGTAATGAAAAATACAAACCAGTAACGAGAATGGTAATAGACAGCGACTCGTATTAATATTCAGACACGTTGTTCGATCGACTATTGTTGTATTTAAAGCACCGAGATTCATTGCTTTTTAATGTGTTAAACTTACTTGTCTCGAAAGTCGTGCGCGGATTTTCCAAATCTGACTCATTCGTCGCTGTTAGTATATCGCCATACTTCGGTAGTATTTCCCACTTTTTATTCACACGTTCGTGCAGCTTCGTGCGTCATTCAATTTCTGCAAAAATATAGCAATTAAATGTTTATCAAATTCTCGTTGAGATTCTGAAGAATCCTTTTATAAGTTTTATTTTTAATAGAGATAGTAATACTAGAAATTCCCAAAACAACCACAGAAAGTTGCATTTTTACACTTAATTTAAGAAAGACCAAAATAGGAGGAAAATTTCTCTCTCATTCTTTAAAAGATTCCTTGTGGTAAAAATAAGATAAATATAATAATAATACTTATTGCTAGATTGTAAATATTCATGCATATACGACGCATGCAAGTTTTAAAAATTTTAAGGGAATACATGAATTAACAAGTTCTGGTAGCATTTTTATTTTCTTTATGAAACCTTGCTATAATTCCATTTTTTGTTAAATGACATATGAGAATAGTAATTTGCATAAAGAGCCATAATCCATTCATTGAATCAAAATATTCTACTTTCTATTCAATGATTATTTGACAGTTTAAATTTCTGTCTTTGACACGATTTCAACAGGCTTGTTCCTTCTGCCGAGCTCGTTCCACTTGTCCTAAATTTCGCGACCAATTATTTCACAACTATAGCGTGATTACGTAATTGAAAATGCCACACAAGACATTAATCAGAAATATACATCCCGCTCGCTATTTTATTCTCGCATTAAACAGACGGCGGCGACATCGCGTCTTAAAATAACGCTGGAAATTTTGACAGGTCTGATCGGCTCTCAGATACTTGAACGATTAATGACGTTGACGATTCGGTAAATTCACATCCGTTTTCGTCGCGTTCCAAACGATCGAGAAATCTAACTATATCCGGTTAACGATTTACATCGACCTTGGTAAAATCATTACATTCTTTGGACGATGGATAAAATTTCTAATAATAATGCTTTTTTACGTCATATTTCCATTCAGTATGCAATTCCACATAAGTTATTAATTTACAAATTATAGCAATTATGTATCGCAAACTGTGCCTACGTTCGTTGTGACAAGTATTGAAAATCTCAGAATATTCAAACCAGCAATGTAAAAACTGTTCACAGAATGAATAATAAAAATATTTTAATTATCACACTAAACAGAATTCTTGTATTTTTTCGATATTATCTGCATCATATGTAGGCTATGGATTTTATGCACTTATTCCGAACATGAATGAGTACAATTTACAACAATAAGATGTATTCCAATCTAAAGATGAAGAATATAACACGAAAAAGTTTATCCATTTTGTTAGTGGAGCTGGTTACTGAGAGCTGACCAATTGCTGTGCCTATCGTCCGTTTCCGGACACAATTAACTTCATATTTATCGAATAAGAATTAAATTTTTATACTGAATTTCAGTACATATAATTTCAGTATAATCTAAACGTCGGAGAAGAAGAAAAAGAGTTCGGTCATCATTCCCTCGCGGATCCAAGAAATTCCTCTGACTTCGACTCGGCGAGTAGATTTCGGTTGCCCAAGAATCGGCGCGGAATCGGCGAAGCCCGCGTGCCCCGGCCAAAGTTGTCAGATCGGCAAAGCGGATTTACCTCGTTCGTCCGCGATCCAATCAATCCACGACAGCCGTAAAATCGGCTGGCGCGTCCGTGTGCGGCGTGCCAGCGCGATCAGCGCGGATGATCTAGTGCACAAGCGATTCCAGGACTCGATTTCGTAACGCGGAGAGAGACTGTTCCGTCCTCGGACATCCGGGTGCCTTAGCACCGAGAGCAAGCCTTAGCGAGCCAGCTAGCAAAGCGAAGCAAGCTAGCAAGCCTCGACGTTGCAACGGCCCTCGATCAATTGTTATACACCGTGGCTGGCATTTAACCGCAGCCAGCGCACGGAGCGTGGCTTGCGTCTGCACTGTTGCCGCATTAATTTGGTACAGTGCGTTGTAGTATGATAGCTCGCGGAAAAGAAGTTGCGCAAGCGTTGCTTATGCCTCATACCAACCGGTGCGACTGTATGGACGCGTAGTCCGTGTACAAACGTTTCTGGTCTTTGCGTCCCGGCGTCTTTCTTCCTCCGTCTCTCCGTCTCCGCGTCTTCTCTATCACGGTCGCTCTATTCTCGCTCTCGCCTGTCTTCGTATCTATCCTCGTTTCCGTCTCTATCCCGCCACCGCCTTTAGACAGCGCGCCATTTCTCTCCTGTTCAACGATCCAACGTCCTTCTCCCGCGGCCGGGCCCGCGTTCTCCTTCTCGATTCCTTCTGACTCCCGGAGAGTACGTGGTGCCCGATCGCTGGTACCGGCTAGCTGGCTGGCTGGCTGGCTGACTTCGCCGGCTATGGCTGTAGTGAATTTATACACGGCCACGGTGCGTTCCCACGCCTAGAGCATGCGAGAGAGCCAGCCCTGCTCTTCGGCCTAATGCCTGCAAGCCCCTGCGCTCGTGCGCTCGTACGCTCGTGCACTGGCGCGCTCGCGCGCGCGCGTCGCAGCGATCCTATTCCGCTGGCCCGTCGCCTAAGAAAACGCTGGAAAATCTGGGACACGGCGTCGCGGTATGCGCCATTGTCCTCGGATTCTATGGGATTCGGTAAGGGGAGGGACGGCGAATCGGCATTTTTCACCCGTTACCGTTCACGGTTTTGCAACTTTGCTCCACGTTCGATCCGGTTTTCGTATGGATCGGTAACACCGACGGAGCAGACCTTGCCGGTGCTCCCGGCACGAGGATCTCTCGCTGGGTTTTCACACTTGATCCGGTACCCTTGGCAATCAACGACGATCGACGTCGTTTTACACGAAATCTCCGACGTTGACGCCCGAGGATCGTTTCGTAGGGTCGCCTGTTCGTCGGCGAATGCTTGAGCCGCTTGTTGAAATGATCGTTCGCTCGGATCGTTGCGTGCACTCGTTTTCTGATCGTCTCTTTTTGCATCGTCGTATAGACGGCGAAGATATCGGTTGACGGAGAACATTCGTAGCATTGGTATTGCGTAAATTTGGATAAGGCTGGGGCAGATTACAGTAATGTCTCCCTAATTAACGCTCTGATTGTCCACAAAAATGGACAATTTGGGAAGAGGAGCCTTGCGGATTCGAGCCTTGCGACTCGTTTTTATAGTTACCGATTGTCAACGATTACAAAAACATGGTGCAAATCCGGAATAATCGTATCTCCTGTTCCCAAATTGTCCATTTTTGTGCGCAATCTGTGCGTCAATTAGGGAGAATTTACTGTATTCTGGAAACAAGTCGGCGATAATGTGCGAAGTTTAAGAAAGAAAATTACTGTTTGTAAGGCGAAGATTGTATAGAAAGGTTGTAGAAAACGGGTGATAATGTTCTAACGGCGATTTTGAATCATTTTTGCGTTTAGAATTGGCAACGTGATTCGACAAAGGATTTTGGATTATATCCAACAATTGTGGTATTAATAATCGTAAATATTAATAATATATACGTATCGATTGCAACCGTTGGAAACACATGTAATTGATATTAAAGAAAGAAGAAAGTAAGATGGATTGTATATCACTATTGCAATATTGTATTACAAGAAGAAGATATGGAGTAAATATTAGGATGTCCAGAAAATTCGCGTCGTTTTTGACCAACGCGAATTTAAAATAACTTTTTAAACGGCGCAGTTGAACAACTAAATATTTGGGAAATAATAAAACATTACATAAACAACTTTCGACGCAAGCTAATCAATTTTAATGTATTACATTAGTAACTACGCGACAAAAAGAACCTCACACGGAAGTCGTATAAACTCTCTTCAGCAATAATCGCGTAAAAGATCTTGGATCAATAGTTCATCCATTTTCGTTCCAACCGAACCATCTGCCTTTCATTTGTAGCGTCGCATTTAAGACGAGCGGCTTCTACGATACAAATGAAATAAAACGTTTAGTTATATGTATCTAAAAAAAGAAAGTGTGTGAATTTTCGCACCGAGGTAGGCACGCGGATTAATACACCGACGCGCTCTCACGTCTAGGATTGTAACGATCGCGCAAAAATCCGAGAGAAGCGCCTATGAAACGTCGGAGCGCGAAATAAAAAAAAAGAAAAGAAAAGAAAACGCAATTTTTCGAACAGAGTAACGGACGTTTGACGCGGGAGGTTGCATTGTGCTCCGAAGAGAAAGTCGATGGTTCGTTCGTAGCGGGTGGATCGGGTCGAGCCATTGATATCGATAATAGAAATGTTTCTACTTTCACTCAAGCTCCGCTTCTGTCTGTTCAGGTTGTTCCCAGAGTTCAAGGATGCGGTGGTCGAGGAGGCACCAGAGCCTCTGCTGAAACGTTTGCCCGACACCGCGCGACCAATCCATCGAAGCAAGGCCTGGCAAGGCCACCGGTGGCCCGACCCTGAGAAAGAAGCAACCACGAGAACCCATCGCTTNAAAAACATGGTGCAAATCCGGAATAATCGTATCTCCTGTTCCCAAATTGTCCATTTTTGTGCGCAATCTGTGCGTCAATTAGGGAGAATTTACTGTATTCTGGAAACAAGTCGGCGATAATGTGCGAAGTTTAAGAAAGAAAATTACTGTTTGTAAGGCGAAGATTGTATAGAAAGGTTGTAGAAAACGGGTGATAATGTTCTAACGGCGATTTTGAATCATTTTTGCGTTTAGAATTGGCAACGTGATTCGACAAAGGATTTTGGATTATATCCAACAATTGTGGTATTAATAATCGTAAATATTAATAATATATACGTATCGATTGCAACCGTTGGAAACACATGTAATTGATATTAAAGAAAGAAGAAAGTAAGATGGATTGTATATCACTATTGCAATATTGTATTACAAGAAGAAGATATGGAGTAAATATTAGGATGTCCAGAAAATTCGCGTCGTTTTTGACCAACGCGAATTTAAAATAACTTTTTAAACGGCGCAGTTGAACAACTAAATATTTGGGAAATAATAAAACATTACATAAACAACTTTCGACGCAAGCTAATCAATTTTAATGTATTACATTAGTAACTACGCGACAAAAAGAACCTCACACGGAAGTCGTATAAACTCTCTTCAGCAATAATCGCGTAAAAGATCTTGGATCAATAGTTCATCCATTTTCGTTCCAACCGAACCATCTGCCTTTCATTTGTAGCGTCGCATTTAAGACGAGCGGCTTCTACGATACAAATGAAATAAAACGTTTAGTTATATGTATCTAAAAAAAGAAAGTGTGTGAATTTTCGCACCGAGGTAGGCACGCGGATTAATACACCGACGCGCTCTCACGTCTAGGATTGTAACGATCGCGCAAAAATCCGAGAGAAGCGCCTATGAAACGTCGGAGCGCGAAATAAAAAAAAAGAAAAGAAAAGAAAACGCAATTTTTCGAACAGAGTAACGGACGTTTGACGCGGGAGGTTGCATTGTGCTCCGAAGAGAAAGTCGATGGTTCGTTCGTAGCGGGTGGATCGGGTCGAGCCATTGATATCGATAATAGAAATGTTTCTACTTTCACTCAAGCTCCGCTTCTGTCTGTTCAGGTTGTTCCCAGAGTTCAAGGATGCGGTGGTCGAGGAGGCACCAGAGCCTCTGCTGAAACGTTTGCCCGACACCGCGCGACCAATCCATCGAAGCAAGGCCTGGCAAGGCCACCGGTGGCCCGACCCTGAGAAAGAAGCAACCACGAGAACCCATCGCTTGAACGGTTCGATGGATTTAACGGAGGCATTCGCCCCGGGAGGGGGCGGGGAGGATCTGCCGAAGACGGACTTCTTCGATTTCGTGGTCTCCCCGCCGCCGCACTGCGCGTCCGCTGACGGGGTCTCCGACGAGGAGAGCTTCCTTCATCGCACCACCTGCAGAAGCATGGGTTATCTGCAGCAGAGCCACGAGGAGCACGAGACCAGTCGTGACCTCCACAGCTCGCCGTTCATCAAAGAGACCAATAACAACACGCTGACCGCCTTGCCGCCCGTCTCGACGATCACGAGCTCCCTCGGCCATCATCATCACCATCACCACGTGAGAGCCCATCACAACGCCTGCAACGTCCAGCAGAGCAACGAGCAGACGCCGATGGACCAGTCGGACTGCGACTATTGGGGGACCGACGAGAGCAAAGAGCAGACCTGCAACATACTGCTGGAGGATTTGAACAAGTATTGCTGGTCGGCCCACGCCAACGCGCAGAGCCATGGGAACGACACGGTGAACGTTCACCAGGGATCGAACGACCATCATCAAGCCGTAGGCCGAGGATGTTCCACGAACGACAGACAGAACACGGACGGGGCAATCTACACTCTGACCGTGTTGAACAACGAAGCAAACTCGATGGACGCGTTGGACTGCTGCAAGAGCCCGGCACCGACGTCCAGCGACTCCTGGACCCTGCGGCCCAACCTGGACTTGGACGCGATCCTGAGCATGGAGCCGGCCTCCGCCGAGCCGGACCACGACCAGACGACGAACGTGAGCGAGGTGTCGCGGACGGTCAACGACAGGTTTCACCCGGACCGCTTCTCCGTGGCGTCGTCGCAGTATACCACCGACGACAGCGGTTTCGTCGAGAGCAAAGAATTGTGCGGTCGGGCCTCCTCGAACAGCGGCAACTGCACGGGCGGCGACAACAACAACGACTGGAAGCTCTCGGATCAGAATCTGCAAGAGGCGGCTGCTGCGGCGGCGGCGGCTGCGGTCGCGGTGGGCGCGGGCGACTCGGCGGAGAGTCTGCTGAGAAGCGCCCTCCAAGGGAAGCTGTACACAGGCCCGACCCAGGTGGTGTCGTCCTCGTCGCCGTCCAATCAGGGCACCGCCATGTCGATGCCCGTCACGAATAACCCCGGCCTGCAGATAGTCGCCGACCAGCAACAACAGCAGCAGCAACAACAACAGCAACAGCAGCAGCAGCAACAGCAACAACAAGACGAGTCGATGCACACCTGCACGGACGAGGACCTGCTGCTGTCCCAGCTGGACCAGACGACCTACCGTCCCGGGGACTACGAGAAGCTGAAGAGCATAGCCAACGAGATGGTGGAGTCCTACTGCAGCTTGGAACCCGTCTGCAACGTCTCCGCGACGACCACGGTGATGTACACGTTGGACCCGACCAGCGGTAGCCTGGGCACCATCACTCTACCGGCGGACTTGGGCCAGGTGAGCACGGTCACGGTGGTCACGGCTGCTCAGCAAGACGTGCTCCAGCAGCAGACAACCGCTCGGGCGGAGGTGGAACAGCAACAGACGACCAATCAGCTCCAGCTGGCTCCCACGAGAGTGGTGCCCGCCAAGGCGCCGAAGAAGTACTGCAGACGCACCAACAGGAACAATAACAACGCGAACGCGGCCAGCAACGGGAACAGCGGCTCGGAAAGCGGAGGAAGCGCCGGCGGTCAGCAACAAGGCGCGTCCGGAGGGTCACCGGGCAGCGTTCAGCGCAAGGAACGCTCGCTGCACTACTGCAGCATCTGTAGCAAAGGGTTCAAAGACAAGTACAGCGTGAACGTTCACATTCGGACGCACACGGGCGAGAAGCCCTTCGCTTGCTCGTTGTGCGGCAAGAGCTTCCGGCAGAAGGCCCACCTGGCGAAGCACTACCAGACCCACGTCACGCAGAAGCCCAGCGTCCAGCAGCAGGCCACCGGGAACAGCGGGAACAACAACGGGAACAGCGGGAACCCCAGTCCGTCCGCGGAGACCACCACCACCACCAGCAGCAGCGTGACAAACAGGAGTCAGTCGCACCCGGTCTCGGTCGATCCTTCGGGGAACGCCTGCAATCCACCTAGTTAGTCGACTTGGAGGGACCCTGCCGATTGCTCGATGCCCCGTCGAACTCGACGTACCAGGTCGTTGCTGCCTCTCTCCTCTTCCGAAAGGGGCACGGTGCGAGTCTTCTTTCTCTTCTATAGCTCTTTTTTGTCTCATTCTATTTATCTGTCACTCTGTCTCTGCCACACGCTGTCCCTCTACTTTTGTCTTCCGTCCTACCATTCTGTTCTTCCCTCCCCCGGCGCTTCAGTCTTCGCGTCACCGAACGAGAGATCGTTCCCGATCAACGAGGTTAGAACCCCGAGCACAGAGCGAACCATGACCAATGGCAACGATCGCGGGATCGACGCGTCTATGGTCCAACGTTGGTCGAGCTGACCCCTTCTCGCGATCGGCCCACTCGTCTTAGAACGAATCTTAGCGCCGATGGACACCCAGTACGCATCGGAGTACGCATCGGGGTCCGTCGATATTTAATTAACGAGCTCTGCGAACGCTAGGCGTCCGGTATCGAGCCCGGTGGAGCCGCGGAGATCGGTAGGCGACGCCCTATTTCGGTGGCGTCCCTGTCGCCGTCCTCTCGCCGGCAACGATTCTATCAGCTGATCGCAGAAAACCGTCCACAAAGCCGCGAATCGTGAATTTATCCACGGCAACACCGAGCCCCAAATGCTTCCACGACGATCGTTCCTGTCGCCAGTTCAGACCCCCGGGGCTTCCGAGACGCGCGTCCAATTGTTCGGCTATCGAGGACGATCGCGAGCGGAGGACGCCGATCGGCGTCCAAAACTTGGCGCTCGAAGAGTCGGAATTAACGTTTCTGTGTTCAATTGCCGAAACGATCTTTCAGATTGATTATATCGAATTTTTGATGACGCCTGCGAGAGGTTTGAACCGGTGATATCTGTGTTTTGGGGCGAGCCGCGAAATTCTTTGAATTTACCGGAAAAGGAATGTTAATTCGAAGGAGAGCGGCGACGGAGCGATATCAAGGTCGTCGCTTTGCGAACGATGTTTGCCGCGCGTATTTAATTCAAAGTAGGATATTTCGGGCGAACGTTTAGCGGAGTCGGTGATTTCGAGAAATCGATGACCTTGGGAAGAACGGCTCCGCCTTGTTTCTCTGTAAATTCGGTATTTACGGATATTTCGGTGACTCGCCCCGCGGGACGTTCGAATTGATATTACGCGTACGCTCGTTCTGTCGATAAATTCACGAAGGGAAAATCTAATATAAGCAAGGCGTGCACGCCCTTTATTTTTTTATACCACGTAATCAATTAGTCGGATCGTCGATCGACGGTGGCCACGCTCCGCGGGTTGAAATTGTTGTTCCTAAGACGACCCCCATTGGCGCGAAAGAGGGAGGATTCGTGGCGCGTGGATCGACGATCGCCCATCGATCAACGATATTTAATACCACTATGAGATATTAACGTTATTTTATACATAGGATGATTCTAATTTTTATCGTTCTCTCGAGTTTCTTCTTTCTTCGCTCTATTGTCTTCTCTCCTTTTCTTTCACGAACCCGAACCCCCGCCTCCCCCGCTCTATTTTTTATGTTTTGTTCGTCACCCTACGTACGTATACACACAATGATAAATATAGTAGACTAATGGAAGTAACATAGTGATCGGTAAGTAACGGAGTATCGAGAAAGGTATATAACGTTATAAGTAATTAGTAGCACGAGCTGTGATTTAGATACATACTCAACGCGTGATGACGCGCGCGCGCGCGCGCTCGCGCACGCTTCGCCCGCTCGGTCGGTCGGCCGGCGCGGCGCTCGCGTGTCTCGCCGTCTGTTATTCGTAAGAGAGTGAAAGCGATTCGTTTGACGGACGATTTTGCGAGGAATTCTGCCTTCGGAACGCACTTCAGACTTTCTTCGAGCCCTGTTAGAAGAGTTTTCTCTGCCGGCTCGTTCATCCGATGAAATCTTCGAAGGACGATCGAGCTTTCGATTGGATCGCCGCCGCACATGAAATGTCGTTCATCTTTCACCTTTCGTGCTTCGCAGATATATACGCTACGGACGGAATTGAAGGAACTGCAAATTAACTTAATTGCTCTCGGATGGCGACTCTCGGGCGCCATTAACCTATTCCCGCGGCAGTCATTTTGTATACATTATGCGCAAAATGCGTCGAAGGAATTCATGCGTTATTAAGACGGCGCAGCGTGCAAGTATTATTATTCGAAAACTCACTTACGGCCTGTCCGCAGGATGTAGAATTAAGGGGAAAACTGCCAAATGCAACGTATTGATATCTATTAATTAATTTCGCGAACGACGAGATTCATTTGGAAGATTATTCCGCGCGAATGCGTAAAAAATTATCGTACTATAGTTTCGAACGGTTTGATATCAATAATTGCACTCGTTTTCATTTTTTCTTTCTGGAATATTTTATATTGATGGAGATTTCTGAGTTCGAAGCCGTTTGATTTAAGAAGTCTTTACTTCTTTGTCCCTGATCTCAGTTTCTTAATTCTCTGAATTCTCTTTTCTATATTTAAACGTTTACAAACTTAAGTCAATGTACGGGGTTTAACAAATTTTTGTTCTACATTTGTTTAAAGGTTGATCTACCATTTTTTGTTACAGTTTTATCGTATTTTAAATAAAAAAGACGACATTGATAACAGGTAGACTGTGGATCTTTATGTAAATTCTAAGTTTTCTATCTCTTAAAGGTTGATCTACCATTTTTTGTTACAGTTTTATCGTATTTTAAATAAAAAAGACGACATTGATAACAGGTAGACTGTGGATCTTTATGTAAATTCTAAGTTTTCTATCTCTTAAAGGTTGATCTACCATTTTTTGTTACAGTTTTATCGTATTTTAAATAAAAAAGACGACATTGATAACAGGTAGACTGTGGATCTTTATGTAAATTCTGAGTTTTCTATGTCATTTTGTTAAAATTAGAATTAAAGAAAAGTTTCCTTCGTTGACCAAACGATTACTTATCGCGAAGGCCAGGAAGCATTCATACACTCTTCTTGTAGTTTGGATAGCTAGCATCAAATGAAAAATCCTTTCTCTCAGATTTATTTGAAGAACTAAAAACTTTGTGTATAGCATCCTAACAAACACCTTTAACCTTTACGGTAAACATTGATGAATTCCAATCGAAATTTGGAAGCAGGTTCGTTTCCTATGAAATTGAAAAATCCTGGCAAAAAGCAATGAAACACGATGATTCTAATCTGTCGAGGACGTTGCTAAAAGAAATAAAAATTTCACTAAAATCGACGTTTTCGAAATTCGTTTCGAAACGTTTGTACGACAGTCCACAGAATAAAGGTTACGGCCAGAAGCGACAGATAACGAAGCCAGTGTCGCGTTGCATGAAGTCGACATTTCATGTGCGAGCTGCCGACAGAACATTCGAAACCGAGTGAAAATCTTTTCCAGTTGAGCAACGTTCGGGTTTTCCAGACTGTGTCCGATCAACCGGTTCGAAAGGCCGAGCGCACGTGAGACTTACGACCGGAAGAGCCGCGCCATTCTTCTCTTTTCCCGCCTCGGATTTCATTAATTACCTCGAAGGACGGATATTAATGCATTCGCTCGTTCTTTCATCCATTATCTCGATCCTCGTTACCGGTGCCTTTAGAAATAAGTCTGAATACGAGTATTAGTTCCCCTCCATCCCCGTCCAACCCCCGGCCGCCCCTAATTTTTTGTCTTCTCTTCAGCGCGAAACTGCCTTATTGACCTTCCGGAGATCGTTTTCGTGGGTTTCTCACGTTTGTCGCAACATGCCGAACACAGCAGGCTAAACGGAAGCGACGCCATATTACGGTTGTTCCTCTAATTTCGTTCCGAAACATCGGTTTCCCTTTGTCTTCCCGCATTTATCGATAGTATATAATATTTCAGTATTTCAGAAAAATTGTAAACGATCGTAATTTTCGATAATCGTGCCGCTCGTTTGCCAAATCGATTAACTCCATAATAGCATTATATAAATAAACATTATGTATGATATAATAAATTATTTGTTATACCACGTGAAACAAGATTTTTAATATATTTTTAGAATATAACAAACTAAGGGTGAATCAAGCGCTGTTACTCTGAAATTTAAAAGAATTTTTAAAGTGGAGCTAATCGATTGTGAACGACTAAATTAAATTTCAAATTGAGCTTAAAAGTGCACTTCTATGATGTACAAGATTTTTAATCATTTTCTGTTGTGTTCATTTAATAATTTCAACAATTTGCCATCTGGTGGCGCCACATCTCGATGTCTTTTACGAGACGAAAGTATTTCTATCGTGGGATCAAAATAAAGTGTCAAATATTGTTTAATTATTAGGCGAGATTAGAGAAACGAGCCCTTACGGTCGCGACCCGTCCCGTCCGCTCGCTTCTTCTTCTTCTATCATTACCGTCGCATCATGTATCGGTATTACCCTCGATTCGTTTTTATCGTGACACTGTGACGTGATCGACGCCGTGAGCGAGGGACGACTGTGTTCGTTTTAATACCTTGGTTTATCTACGCTCGTAAAGTTCAATTTCCAATTAACAAGCGCGACAAGGAGCGCCGCGGGCGATACATATATTTGAAATTCACTTCTTCTTGGAAAAACATGACCACGGTGATGCACGAATGTTCATGCATTTCTCAGCTTTACGTATTTGTACTTGTCTCGGATATATCACCGCGCGAACCGCAAATTTTCGCAAAAGAAATTGTGCAATTTGTTCTGCCAATGGCGTACGAAACAGAGAATTTTGTTTATACTCTATTTGCTCTATACAAAGAATATCTGAAATAAGTTCTTCGCAATTCGGAATAGAGCGAAATACGTTTTTATAAATTAATTTCACTGTTCTCTGATTAAATTTGGTACTTGTTTTTAGAAAAAGTTGCTAAACTCGAAAGTTTTGCTATCTCGATAGTTTATAACATGTTTACCAAGCTGAAATTACTAAATTTTTTACTATATAAAATTATATCAAACTTCAGAGTTGGGAAGAGTTTCTAATAAAAATTTATTTATTATTATCCAATAATTATATATAATTATATATAACATTATTATTATATATAATTATAATTAATATTATTATTATATATAATTATATATATTATTATTATTATATATAATTATAATTAATATTATTATTATATATAATTATATATATTATTATTATTATATATAATTATTATAATTATTTGTACAGAAATTAATTCGAAAAATAATCATTTAGAATAAAACTGATAGAATATAATATTTATTAATATTATTAGAATTGTTTCGAACAATTCTCAACTCTGTTAAACCTTTAACTACGTAATTCAAGTAAACGATAAAATGGCACTCCTAGTATTCAACGATCAATCGAAACTCGATGCTTACGGCTCGTTCATATGGTGAACAATAAATAGCAAAGAACAAAGGTTCGTTCTCCATATTAGTGTTGGTAGATAAAGAATGGCTGAGAACGGAAGAAATTACACGCAGGATTTCGTTGTGTGAGTTTTTCAGCTCTCGTGACCGGTTGCCAACATTTTCTTTCGCGGACGATGAAATTTTTACGGCTCGATTCGCCGATGCATCAATTCCTAGAATCTCGACGCGAACATATCTCAGCGATACGATATAATCATGCGAACACGAAATTTCTCTTTCCGCCGTTAGCCGCGTTCCGGCGAAATAAAAGATTCGAGCACATAATGAGTTATCGGAAAAAGGAAAATCGAAAACGCTTTCTTCTGATTAAAAATCCTGTTGCAGTAAAAGCGATTCGAAAACGTGGACTTCATTTTTGCAGTCTAGTAAACTTGTTCGCTCGTAGAATGAATAATTAAGCGGATGAATTTTCCATCGTTACCGCCATTTTACTCTGTTCATTCGTTTCCATCTTCATTCGTCGCGGAAACGATCGAAAGGTACCGCGAAAAATAACATTACTAAAATAAACGTAAACTTTCTTTTTTATCGTCGAATGCTACCGTTGGAAACATTGTTTTTCGAATAATAGAAAAAAGCGGTTCGAAGGTACAGATCTAATTTTTGGCGTTCTAATTAAGTTGGTTACGAAGTAGCAGTGAATAATTGAACACGCGAAGCACCGTTAGTATCGCCATTTTATTCTGTTTTCTCGTTTTAATAATCACAGTTTATTTCTTGCGGAAATTTTCATAAAGCGAAACAGGAAAATACGTCCGTTACTAGTAATAGCAATAAAATTGTACCAAGAATATTGAGTTTTACATTTCGTGACACGTATTCGAACTAGAATATCGTCACGTGTACAATTGGCTTTCCTATTTTTAACCGTAGCAGTCATTACGAAACGGAAAAAACTACAAATTACCATTTTTTCATTTATTATGCATTGAATTTTGCTATCCGTGACGGAAATTACTTATGACTCAACGCAGTAATTGAACCACGTGATCCAATTATGAATGCGCTTTGAATGCATAAAATCCGAGGCGTAATCATAATGATCTAGAAACGCGTTGACTGCCGCCCAGTGAATATAAAAGCCTTACAGTCATCATGTTTCCAAGAACTGATCAGAGTTTTTCTTTTTTTGTAAATGTCCTACGTTTAGAAATTAAGTATTGATAAATGGGAGCTGGTCTTTCTTTTTAAACGTTATTTGATAAAAGAACATTTTTAGGAATCGACCTTCGAAATTCGGCAAATTTTCGTCGAAATTCGCGTGGATTCAGAAAGTAGGTTTCGGTTAAACTAATTTGATCGTTCGAAAAGTTGTTTCGTTTTACGATAAAATTTCGTTTCGTAAGAGTGTTAACAAGCACTTGATTCAGTATTTCGTCTTCGTTTTTTTTGTTCTGAATACTAAAAAATCGTGCTTTATTTTCTCGTACAAGAGCGAGACAACTTTACAAACGATCTAATAATTCAAAAATTTTCACATGATTAATTAAAGTTTATAGATGAACTAATGTGTCGAAGAATATCTTAAATAATATGTTCGCAGAAATTGATAAATAAAATTACAAATGATCCTGAGTAAATATAGTCGGTTCCATCATTGTCAAAATGAATCGCTGTGCGAGTGTTAAGGGTGCAAAGAATGTAGAAAGAGATTCGAGTTTTCTGATCGAAATAAAAATTGTTTGAGCAAATAAAGCAAAAATCCCAAAGTGGGATAATTGTTTTTCATTGATCATTTCGATTGTAGAACTTTGCTTTTACAGAAATTCCGTGCGCAGAAATTTCGTTCTACAGAAATTTCGTATGCAGAAATCTCATTTACTGAAATGTAGTATGCAGAGATTTCATTTGGTGAAATTTCGTATGCAGAAATTTCATATGCAGAAATTTTGTATGCAGAAATTTCATTTGCTGAAATTTCGTTCTACAGAAATTTCATGTGCTGAAATTTCATATGCAGAAATTTCATGTGCTGAAATTTCGTATGCAGAAATTTCATTTGCTGAAATTTCGTTCTAAAGAAATTTCATGTGCTGAAATTTCATATGCAGAAATTTCATTTGCTGAAATTTCATTTGCAGAAATTTCGTATGCAGAAATTTCATTTGCTGAAATTTCGTTCTAAAGAAATTTCATGTGCTGAA